CTCAAGTGATATCCCTAGCCTTGGGGACTCCACATACTGTGCCTGCCATCCAAGGCTTATTGCTATCATGTCCCTCCCCACACTAAAATACTCCTTTGTTTGCGGGGCCCCAACTCCTAGCAGGCTGGAGGGGAGAGAGATTTAAGGTCAGGGAGATCCTGGAATCTTAGAGCACCCTGGTAACCCTTGTAGATAACAGAGAGTTGACTGTGTTTTGCAAGCTAAAAAGGATAACAGACAAAGGAATTTGCATGATTAATATGCCAATAAGAAAGGACCAGGATGGCCAAACCCCTGATGGGCTTCCGGGGACTTGGAATCTGGATTCAGAATCCCTGCTCAGTGACACCAATGGTGAGGCCTAGCACATGATGAGAGGGAAGGGTAGGACTAAGGCAAATCTCTGGGTGCCCCTGTTCTATACTCACCAAGTCGATGGCCATCTCCTATCCCTGTGGGGCAGGGGGACAGAGAACAGGATAATGACTTCATTTCCTCCTGGCCTGAGCTTCCCCAGTGGAAAAAGTGTACTGAGGAAAGTTTTCATTGAACTGGTAGCACTTTGGAAAATTATAGCCAATTCCCAGTAATCAGCACCAACAAGGGGCCAGCAGTAGAGCCTGCAACTAGATAAAGAAAAATAGCAATGTTTACAATTCAATTTGTTTTAAAACAACAGATTTACCTTTATAATTATGAACCAGTGCACGTTCCTGCTAGAAGGCACTGACTGGCCTGTGTTCCAGCCCTTCTGCTCAGAATAATGCCTCCACCTGCACCTCTATCCCCCAGAATCAAGAGCTCTCCTCAGCCCTCCAGGCCTTGTTCAAATCCTACTTCCTCCAAGAGGCCTTGGAGTTCTTCAGTCATTTCTCTTTCCTCCATACTCCCTTTAGCACTTTCCTAGCACTGGATAGAGCCCCTTTCACAGCCATTTCTGTGACCTTCTCTCCCTCCAGAACAGAAGCTTTCAGATGTGCTGTCCATCTCAGCAGCCCCCTGGACCTAGCACAGTGTCTGGCACAGTGGGCTCCTAGCCTTTGCCACATTTGTTCCTATCCAATGGAATGGACTCACCGACTTGGGGGTTGGGGCAACTCTAAGGTCTGGGAGAATCCGGATTCCCAGGGCCCTAGGGAGCCCCTGCAGCTAACAGGGAGTTGTCCTTATTTTGTAAGCTAGAAAGGAGTGTGCACCAGGCCTAATTATAGCTGGTTTTGTCGTTCCAGGAGTGGGTTAGCGTCAAACCTAGCTGCATGGGTAGAGTGAGCGCAGCAACAAGGGGCCACTTTGGCTGGAGCACAGGGTCTCCGGTCCCTATTCAGTCACTGGGCCCCCAAGTGTGTGACCAGAGAGTTGAGGCTGGGGAGGAGAGGGGAAAGGGGGGGGGGGGGGGGGGCCGCACCGCCCTCCTCCCTCCCGCTCCTCCTTTCTCTCGCGTTCCCCACCGGCCTCCCTCTCAGGCTCTTTGTCTGTCGGTCGGTCTGTCTGTCAGCTTTCACTAGCGCTGGCTCTCCGGAGCGCTCTCTCTCGCTCTCGCTCTCTCGCTCTCTCTCCTCGGTTCACGTGACCGCCTGTTCTCAACGGCTCCGATCACCTCTTCCTGAGGCTACACCTTTCGGTTGGTAACAGGAGACACTCGGGTGTTGGGGGCAGGATGGGTTTCCTTCCTCCGCTTTTTCCTCCTCGCCTTCTCCGGCAGCTCCAGCCTCTCCTCTTGGCTCGGCCTCTGGCCCTCCACCCCTCCACCCCTCC